AAGGGAAGGGAAGGGAAGGGAAGGGAAGGGAAGGGAAGGGAAGGGAAGGGACAATCAGGCCTCCAGGAGGTGGAGGGCGGGTTGGATGTCTGCATGTGACTGAAATGACACAAGTGGAAGAAGGAGCTGAGGCGAGGAGGCTGCAGGAGGCACAGACGTGGCCGATCAGCTCTCGTACCTTGGTGGGCTGGAGGTGCTCCAGGCTGCTCTCTCTGAGCGTGGCCACAGCTCTGTTGGCATTTCGCTCCTGCTTGTACATCTGTGTGGTGGGGGGGATGGACGGGGCCGCGGCTGTGTTCAGGTGGGTCCCGTTGCCAAAGGCCTGGATGGCGTTTTCTTTGTGTGGGAAAGATGGAGAAAAAGGGGTGTCAGGGCAGGGGGAGCGCCCCTTCCCCAGCCCCTTCCCCAGCCTCTTCCTCGGCATCACCCAGATGGAGCCTGAGGCTCTGCAGAGCTCCTTTGTGACAGCACAGGGAGCTGGGCACTGCAGCCCCAGGCATGTCCATGCCCCCATGGCCCCATGGCCCCATGGCCAGCAGCCCCAGTAACCCCACAGCCCCAGCAGTCCCAGTAGCCCCAGAAACCCCACAGCCCCAGGAGCCCCAGTAGCCCCAGTAGTCCCAGCAGTCCCAGTAGCCCCACAGCCCCAGTAGCCCCAGTAACCTCAGTAGCCCCAGTAGCCCCAGCAGCCCCAGTAGCCCCAGCAGCCCCAGTAGCCCCAGCAGCCCCAGCAGCCCCAGTAACCTCAGTAGCCCCAGCAGCCCCAGTAGCCCCAGCAGCCCCACAGCCCCAGTAGCCCCAGCAGCCCCACAGCCCCAGTAGCCCCAGAGCCCGGCAGTGGCACTCACGCAGACAGACGTTGTTGGTGAAGAGGTGCAGGAAGCTCTCACACTCTTCCTGCCGGTTGCCGCTGGCGTTGCAGGTGCACCAGGGAGCGATGCTGGACGTGGAGTTGTCGATGTAGTTGGGGGTGATGGGGCTGCCTGCCGGGACCGACGGACAAGTGTTACTGCAGGGCAGGAACTTCAGCAAGGGGCAGGGACATCCCTTGGTGCTGCTCTCCTGGCTTACTGTGCTCAGCCAAGCCCCTCCATGACAGCAGCAAAACCCTTCAAGGGCTGATGTCATGGGTCTGGTTTGCTCCCAGGGAAGAGAAGAGGAGCAGTCACAACCCTTTTGGTCACACCACCATCACCAAAGCCTTCAGTCAATTAAAAAGTGCTATCACTCCAAGGAATGGGAGTTTCTGGGAATTCAGTTCCCTAATAACATTCAGAGAATAATGGAATGGTTTGGGTTGGGTTGGAAGAAACCTCAAAGCCCATCCAGTGGGCTGGAATGAGATGGGATTTGCAGGTCTGTTCCAACCTAAAACATCCCACGACTCTGTGATGTCCCTGAGAGCTCAGCTTACTGTCCTCAGAGCCCGAGCCCTGTCCCACCCAGAGGAGACAATTCCCACCCGGAGGAGCCCTGTCCCACCCGGAGGAGCCCTGTCCCACCCAGAGGAGCCGTGTCCCACCCAGAGGAGACAATTCCCACCCGGAGGAGCCCTGTCCCACCCAGAGGAGCCGTGTCCCACCCAGAGGAGACAATTCCCACCCGGAGGAGCCCTGTCCCAGCCAGACGAGCCCTGTCCTACCCGGAGGAGCCCTGTCCCACCCGGAGGAGCCGTGTCCCACCCAGAGGAGACAATTCCCACCCGGAGGAGCCCTGTCCCACCCGGAGGAGCCCTGTCCCAGCCAGAGGAGCCCTGTCCCAGCCAGGCTGGCCGCAGCCCGTACCGATGATGCCGGTGTAGGCCAGCAGACACGCGGCGTAGCTGTCCCTGCGGCAGCCGCTCGCAGCCTGCGCCGAGGGCTGGCAGTTCAGCTGGAACTCTGCATAGCGGGACCTGGAGGGGCCACAGCACAACGGGACACGTCAGCACAGCAACTGGGGCTGGACTAATCACCACTGGGGCAACTGGGGCTGGAGTAATCACCACTGGGGCAACTGGGGCAAGAATAATCACCGCTGGGGCAACTGGGGCTGGACTAATCACCACTGGGGCAACTGGGGCTGGAGTAATCACCACTGGGGCAACTGGGGCAAGAGGGATGCAGGAGCACGCTCGTGGTATTTACAGAAGGGAATCTGTTTGCAAAGTGCTGCTGTGGGTGTTCTTCAAACAGCTGGAACTGACGTCCTTTTACAACCTCCTGCCCACCCCAACAAACACAGGAGGAGGTTTTGAACAGTAATGTCTTACAGGCTTTCTCCAGGACTGCAAGAAAAGTCCAGTCTTGGAAGAAATGTTTGTTTTCTGGTGTGTGAGGTCAGTTTTTCAGGGAAGAGCTGTTGCCAGGAAGAAAATCAGTCTGTGTTGCCATTTTATATCTTTTGGATGACAACTTTGCCTAAAGACTCCAGCCTTCATATTCAGTCTGATTTGATGAAACAGAGAATTGCTCTGGTCCAGTTTCTGTCTCTAGAGACTCTAAATACAGCTGAGGTCACCTCAGATGGAGGGAAATGTCCAGAGGTTCGGATATGAAATGTCCTCCCCACCACCAGGGCTGCTGCCCCATCCTCTGCTGCAGATGTCCATTGTCAGCAGGGGAACTCTGCAGCCTGTGGAGCAGGCAGGTCATCCTGCCAGCCACTTATCTGCCACCAAATTCTTTAGGCATCAGTCAGCTCTTGGCACATGGTGGTGTTTGGAGAGCCTAGGGCATTTGAGGCATCAACACAGGGCTTTCAGGCAGGACACAGCAGCAGCTGGAGATCCAGATCCATCCCAGCTTCTTTCCATAGCCAGGCAGGAAGGGATTCACATGGCACTTGAGCTGCTTTGGAAACTCAAGCAAGCACCAGCACTGACAACACTTGAAGGGAGGGATCTTCATGTGACAGCCTGCACTGTCTGAGCTGAGAACTGAGAACCTCAAATATTTACCCTGCCCGGGCAATCTCAGAAGAACTGAGCATGTTGCTTCTCCTCTCCTGCAGACATGTTGCTCTTGCTCCTGGTCAGTGTCAGCATTCCAGTTTGCATTTCCCAGCCTACACCCGAGTCTTTTTTTTCTCATCTTTGTTCCCATATTTGCCCCATACCAACCATTTTCTTCTGTAACATGGACAGGCAAAATCTTTCCCAAAACTTAAAGCATTGTTTAGAGATTTAGAGAAGGTAGATAGTGACTGCAGATTTTATATAATCCGTATATAAAATCCATATTAGTAGAACCCAGCCCTATGAGCTGGGAAGGTCAAAGGGCTAGAGCTGTGCAGGAGCTGCAGTGCAGACAGGCTGGGACTTGGAGTGTTTCACTCCATTTCTGTATGATTTATTCCTGCCTCTCCTTGTGGATTCTGCACTGCTGGCTTTGACCAGGTCACATGTCAACCTCTTGCTCCCTTTGTGTCTCTAGAGGATATTTTATGTTATATATTCAGAGACCAAGGGACCAGATAGTTAATAGCAGTGCTGCTTGCAGGAAATAGTTTCCAATCTCCTGGGGAATAACACTCTCCCCTTTGAACCTCTTCCTCCCCACTGGGCCCTCTTGTCATGTTAGGGAGAGGGCAGTACCCCCCATTCCAGATCCCCTGGGTAGCCAGGGGACAACATCTGAGCAGGGCCTGGTCAGCCCAGGGGATTTGCATCTTTCAGAGTCTAGCTGTGCACAGTTCAGTCCTTCTCCTGCCTCCATTTCGTTGGGCTGCAGAGTGCTGAGGGGATTTGGACTTTGATGAGAGGATGCTGCAGCTCTCACCTTCCTTTGTGAAAATACATAACATTTTTATTGTAATTAAAAGATGATGTGCTGGTAGGGGACGGCTGCTGGAAGTTGAGCTCAGGAAGTCCCAAACCCCACAGCAATTAGAGACTGAGACAGTACAGGGAGGTGTGTCCTACACTTGCTCTTGGGCTCTTCCCTGGTGTCTGCTCGTGGCCCTGCAGGGCACTGGGCTGGGGCCCCCATGGTGCTGTTATTGTCTCACATCTCTCACTGCCAGGTGGGCTCTGCTCCCCAGAGCGCTGTGTGGATGAACCTTCTGGAACATCAAAGACTTTCTGAGAAACAAGGAGGTGAAAACAGCACAGATGAAGGAAAAGCACTGAAGGGGTTCTGCTGTCAGTGTGCACAGGGGATGGGTCTGTGTGTGTGACTGGGGCTGGATGGGAACAAGAGGAGAAAACCAGGCTGGCCACAGATTGTGCAGTGGATCTGGAATGGCACTGGGATTCTGAGACTCCCACTGCAATCACCAAAACACAGAATCTCTGAATCGCAGAATCACTGAGTGCTTTGGGTTGGAAGAGACCTAAAAATCAACTTGTTCCACCCCCTGCCACAGCAGGGACACCTCCCACTGTCCCAGGTGCCACCAGCCCCAGTGTCCAGCCTGGCCTTGGGCACTGCCAGGGATCCAGGGGCAGCCACAGCTGCTCTGGGCACCCTGTGCCAGCCCTGCCCACCCTCACAGACAGGAATTCCCCCCCAATATCCCATCTAAATCTACCCTCCTTCGGTTTCCAGCCATTCCCCCTGGTCCTGTCACTCCTTGCTCATGTTCAAAGTCTCTCTCCTGCTCCCTTGCAGGCTCCTTTTAGCTATTGGAAGTTGCTGTAAGGTCTCTCCAACACTCAGCCTTGCAGCAGAAGGATATATTTTTTTTATATAGAGAGATTAATTTTTCTAATTAAACAAGCAAACAAACAAACATTGTTTTAAGGCCTTCACAAGTGCCTGTGGCTGTCAGGATACCTTGGGTGCTCCTTGAGGAAGCCCTGGGCGGGGGAAGAGGGACAGTGAGGGAGATGGACTGGTGACAGTGGCTGTAAGGACCCTTCCCCCATATTCCTGCTTAGCCTGCACCTTCCTGGAACTGTTTCCATAGCAGGTCTTTCCCTAGGACCAAAGCCAAAAATCCATAGAAAATGCCTGAAAAACTTCAGCATGATCATCTCCCATCTCCTGCTGTCTGTTAACATGTTCTGTAGGACACAAGGACACAGCTCATGGGAAGGGGCCACCAAGGCACCAGCCTGTCAGTGAGCTGTGGTGCACATGGAGTGTGTCATCACACACA